CACAAAGTGAACCCAAGGTGAACAAAATGGTCACAAAATGAACTGAAGATGAACCAAAATGGTCACAAAAATGGACAACAGGTCATGGGGTCTGTCACTTTTATAACTTCTGCTCCATTTTTATATTGGAGTTAATTGTCCAATGCCAGCTCCAACCCATGCAGTCCCATCCTGCTTGTTTTTCTCTGTTGTTTGTGCTCCTGGGGCTGAGATTTGGATCATTTGTCTTTGGTCCCCAGCTGGGGCAGGAATTGTTTTGTCTCCCTGCTCTGAGCTCACCATCCCCTGATATGAAACCCAGACCCACACACAAACTAAAATACACTTTAGTGTGTAACTTATTTACCCTGTGTAAATAAAATACACACTAAAGCAGCACAGAACCTGAAAAATATAAAAACTCAAACCTGAGGCATCACCAAAGGCTGTGAATGGCAGGTGAGGACCCTTCTGCTCTCCTTCAGTAACCCCTGTCTTGGCTAATGGAGGAAAATGGTTATGAATGTGTTTGTGACATGGTTGTGATGATACTGGGAAGAAATCCTTCCCTGGGATGGAATTCAGAATTCCCAGAGCAGCTGTGGCTGCCCCTGGATCCCTGGAATGTCCAAGGCCTGGCTGGATGGGATTGGAGCAGCCTGGGATGGTGAAAGTGTCCAGGGATGGAATGAGATGATCGCTAAGGTCCCTTCCAGCCCAAATTCTGGGATTTTCCAGAAAAATCCAACCCTGAGCATCCCCATCTCACCTGTGACGAAGCAGGGCTGATGTTTCCTCGCTGCCCTCACTGCCGGTAAATCAGCTTCCCCCTCTGCCTCCTGTGCCAAGTGGGCAAACCCCAGTTTGAATTTACCAAGCTGCCATTCTCGTGCAAAGCCTGCAGCAGCTGGAGCTTCAAGGAAAACCCTGACGTGACAGAGATTCATGCAGCACAGATAAGCAGCTGCAGCCTGTTCACTTGCAGATTTGTGAGCCGATAGCAGCTCTGAGCAGCAGCCCAAACATGGACCCTTCTGCTGGAGGCTGAGCTGACTCAGTTTCCCTCCATCCCAGGCAAGAATTTGGAGGATTTGTGAGCAGAAATCCGAGCTGGGCTGGGGGAACCTCGTCCTGAGCAGTGGGAAAGGCCCTGAGAGCAGGGCAGGCACCTTTGCCCCTGCACTGCAGAATGGTTTTGTATATTTAAAATTCCCCACTGGTTTTTCCCACCACAAACCAACCCACAAAGTCTCCCCCTGACATCACAGAACATCCTCACCCCTGCCAGGGACTTCTGCACTCACTCATTCATCAGAGCTAATTAGTGGAACTCTAATTGTGGAATTTTAATTTTTTTTAGGGTATGTAGTACAATTGAACAAGCATTATTGTTATTAAGGTTAAATTGTTGTTGTAAAGTTTGAATATTTTGATGGTAAAATTGATGAGATTGTTGTTTGTGGTTAGGATTTGTTAAGGGAATGAGAGTATTAGTTATAACTTTTTTCTGGTGGAAAATTCTAGTTGTGGAACTTTTTTTTGGGTATGTAGTAATAATCAAATGAGTATTGTTGTTATTAAGGTTAAATTGTTGTTGTAAGTTTGAATATTTTAATGGCAAAACTAATGAGATTGTTGTTTGTGGTGAGGAATAATTAAGGTAATGTTGGCAATGAGAGTATTGGTTATAAAGTTTTTTTTTTTTTGTGAAAAATTCTAATTGTGGAACTTTTTATTTTTTAGGGCATGTAGTAATAATTGAACAAGCATTATTGTTATTAAGGTTAAATTGTTGTTGTAAAGTTTGAATGTTTTGATGGTAAAAATGATGAGATTGTTGTTTGTGGTTAGGATTTGTTAAGGGAATCAGAGTATTCATTATAGCATTTTTTGGGTGAAAAATTCTGTTTGCTGAGCTTTTTTTTGGGTATGTAGTAATAATTGAATGAATATTGTTGTTATTAAGGTTAAATTGTTGTTGTAAAGTTTGAATATTTTGATGGTAAAATTGATGAGATTGTTGTTTGTGGTTAAGATTTGTTAAGGTAATGAGAGCATTAGTTATAACTTTTTTTGGGTGGAAAATTCTAATTGTGGAACTTTTTTTTTAGGGTATGTAGTAACAATCAAATGAGTATTATTGTTATTAAAGTTAAATTGTTCTTGTAAAGTTTGAATATTTTGATGGTAAAATTGATGAGATTTTTGTTTGTGGTTAGGAATTGTTAAGGCAATGTTGGTAATGAGAGTATTAGTAATAAAGTTAAAAATTTTTTTTGGTGAAAAATTCTAACTGTGGAACTTTTTTTTTGGGCTATGTAATAATAATTGAATGAATATTATTGTTATTGAGGTTAAATTGTTGTTGTAAAGTTTGAATATTTTAAGGGTAAAATTGATGAGATTGTTGTTTGTGGTTAGGAATTGCTAAGGTAATGTTGGCAATGACAGTAATAGTTATAGCATTTTTTTGGTGAAAAATTCTAATTGTGGAACTTTTTTTAGGCTATGTAGTAATAATTGAATGAGTATTATTGTTATTAAGGTAAAATTGTTCTTGTAAAGTTTGAATATTTTAATGGTATAATGAGAATATTTTATGGTATTTAATGGTATAAAGTTTGAATATTTTAATGGTTGGCAATGAGAGTATTAGTTATAGCATTTTTTTGGTGAAAAATTCTAATTGTGGAACTTTTTAGTGTATGTAATAATAGTTGAATGAGTATTATTGTTATTTAGGTTAAATTGTTGTTGCAAAGTTTGAATATTAATGGTGAAATTGATGAGATTTTTGTTTGTGGTTAGGAATTGCTAAGGTAATGTTGGCAATGAGAGTATTAGTTAAAGCTTTTTTTTTTGGTGAAAAATATTGGAAGAAAAGTGTGATTTGAATACATATTTTAAAATATGATTCAGTGTGTTGTCAAATTGTATTTTATAATTTTAGTAACATATTGAATAAAGATTGGTGATTAATTTTAGAAAAAACAACTTCATTTAACCTCTGTCCCCATCACCTCCCCCTGGGAACTCTTGGCTCTCTGTGTACTCAAGAGAAGCCACCAGGAAGGAGCTGGGAGGAAGGAGATGGGAGGAAATTCAGACTCCAATGTCTGAAAAGAGCCCTTGAGCATCCTTTGAGGAGAGAACTCATCTTTGGGCATCCCCCAAAGGTGCAGGGAGAGGTTTGGGTTACCGGGGGACAAGGATGTGCCCAGCACCAGCCAGGTCCGGGCCCTGCAGGGAGGAGAGGAGGATGTGGCTTCAGGGTCAGGCACTTCTGTGAACCCAGCTCCTTCAAAACCCTTTCAGCTCAAACCTTCCTGTGCTTCTACCCCAGAAATGGGGATGGATTGTGGGAGCAGTGAGTGTGTGACAGCTGGGATTTGGGATGTGCCTCCTCTCTGGGATCCCAAAGCCCTGACCTGGTGTTTTACCAGCCACTGCCCACACCCAAGGGCTCAAAACAGAAAATCCAGCTCCCTGCAGCCCGTGGAGCCTCTTGCAGCTCAGAGAGATCAGCCTGCTGTGCCCTGTCAGGACCAGGGCATTCTTCTGGCTGCCCTGAGTGATTTAAGACCTTGGCACAGAGTCACAAACACCTGTGCCTTCCATTTTAGCCCATGGAAACAATACCAACTTTGTGTGAAGATTTACAAGCCACAAAAGTTTGAGTAGAATGATGGTTAATTTGTCACAGGGTGAAAAAGCAGAATTTTGGGGTTTTTAGAATATGGGTTCAAGAGGCAAGATGGAGGAATCTGGGTGTGTCCTTGTCCTTCTTCTCCTTCTTCTTGTCCTCCATCTTCTGCTGTGATGGTGGCACTTCTGGATTGGTGTAGAGTAGAGACAGACTGTCTAACATAGGTGATAGGTATTGGAAAATTATTGTAAATAAAGTACACACAGTTCTTAGTATAAAAAGTTAACACCACCCCAAGGACAGGCGCTGTGTCTCAACCCAACCTGCTGGACAAAATTCAGCAGGTCAGAGAAAGAATGGAATAGATATGAGAAAATAAACAACCTTGAAAAGCAGATCTGATTTCTTCTTCGGTTGTGGGGCTGGGAAAAAAAGACTTTTAATACCTCAGGGGTCATCTCAACCACAGAAAACCCAAGAGTGCCCTGTGGCCTTGCTGTGCAGCTGCTCTGTGCCCTGGAGACGGAACCCTCAGAGCCCTGGGCACTGCTGGTGCCCACATCCCTTCTGCCCATGCTCGCAGGAGGGTGGCACCACTCTGAAGTTGGTGATGGGATCTGTGCCCATCATTCTGCCCATTCCTACCTGGGCAGTTTTACTCCCCATCAGTGATTGCAGCTTCTTCGAGTCAGGTCTCATAAGTTCTTGCAGGTCTGTTACTCACCCAAGGTAGCTCAGCTGCTTTTGGGGGCATAAAATCAGCAGGATGGGCTTCTGTGGCAGTGTTGGGAACAAAAAGGTTTAATAAAAGGCAAAATAACAAACAGGGGCAAACTGAGCTAGGTGCAAGAGGTCCTTGCTCCTGCTAAAACACCTCACAAAAGTGATTAGTTTTAGTTTCTTAGTTCTCTTCTTTTTCTAGTAAATTGCCCAAGCAGGATTTTTTTGGCTTCTGTCTAATTAGCTATCCTTAAATTTAAGGTGAAATTCCCCAGGGACTATGAGGTGGATTTTTCACCTAATGGAAGAGAGAAATTTCTGGGCTTCTTTCCTTTTTGAGGGGACAAAGGACAATTTTGTCACTCCATCAATAGGAGGCACATTCCCATACCCATCACCCCAAGAAGGGCAAGCCCAACTCTTATTTCTGATTCTGCCACAGACTGAGGATGCAGAGCTGTGATTTCTGCACCTCTCAGGTGCAGCAGCCAGAGCCTCCCTCCTGTTAAATGGGATTTAAACATGAAACATGTGATTTAAACATTTAAACATTAAACATGGGATTTAAACACTTCTCTCTGTGGCAAGGCCACAAAAAACACACAACACGCGCTGGGAGGGGCAGCTTTGAGTTTACTCGAAGTGCAAGCAGGGTTCAAGCAGGAACAGGGTTATCTCTGAAGGAAGTGGGGTTTCTTGTGGCACAGCCTCTTTTTGTGCCATCTGGGGCCATCTCTGCCCCTGCCAGGGGGACAGACAGCAGGCAAGGACAGACAGCAGCCCCACAACACAGTGAAGGTGCCCTGAGCAAGTCATTTGTGTTCCTGAGGACACAGCAGGGATTTGACCCTTCAACAGGGGCAGGAAGGAAGATTTGCAGTGTCCAGGGCACAGCAGAGCTGGAGAAATGCTCCCACTGCCACTGCCACTATTTATTCATGACTCTTCTGATCCAGGGCAGGTAGTTGGAGATGCGGGCGTAGACCCCGGGTGGGGAATCATAGCCAAAGGAAACAACTCCTTGTGCCACGTTATTGCACACCAGGGGCCCGCCAGAATCTCCCTGGAGAGAGATGAAAGTGATTTTAGAGACAACAGATTTTTTTTCTTGCCTGTGGTAACAGATTTGTTCCCTCCTTGCCCTGGGGCTCCATTCCTGCCCTGTTTCCCAACTGGGCTGATCTCTACCCCTGTAGCTGGTGCCAGCACACCCAGAGAGCCAAACCCTGTGCTCAAACACTTGTCACCATCTTCCAGAACATCCCCTGTGCCCTCTCCTACCTGGCTGGAATCCCTCAGCTGGTGGAAGCTGCCTGCACAGATCATGCCAGAATTCAGCTGTGGGTAGAAGAGGCTGCATTTCCTGCGGCTGTAGATTGACACCTGGGTCTCAAAGAGCTTGCTGGTGTCCCTGTCCTGGTCGATCAGACCCCAGCCTGCAATCATGCACTTGGTGCCTGTGGGGAGGTCGCTGCCAGTCCTGGGCAGAGGGATGGGCTGCACGTATTCATTGAGAGTGGCCTTTGATGTCAGCTAGAGGGGGTTCAGAGAGGGGTGTGAGCAGGATATTTGCTCTGCAGAGGCAGGCAGGGTCTAGCAGGCTCTGCCAGCTGCTGTGAGAGCCGCACGAGGCTCCAGCCCTGCCCATGGCTCCTTCCCAGATCCCTCCCAACCTCCAGCACCTGGGGCAGAAGCAGCTTTGGGGAAGGAGCCCCACAAGCTCTACCCAGCCCCTGGTGGCCCCCCAGCCCCTCTGTCCCCTCAGAACTCCTTGCCTGCAGCAGCAAGATGTCATTTGCATAGGTGATGGGGTTGTACTCAGGGTGCTCGTAGTACTTGAGCACTCCCCGGACCTGCTGGGATTTTTCTGGCTCTGTGATGTCATGAGCCCCCAGGATGACTGTGGTGTTCCTGGCCATGGCAGAAGGAGGGGGAAAGGGGAAATCAGGCTGGGGAAAGGGGAAATCAGGCTGGGGAAAGGGGAAATCAGCCTGGGTGTCACCCCCTCCCTCCCTTATTTGATATATTTCATTTAACAGGCAGGTGCAGAGAGCTGCCCAGCACAGGAGGGACCTGCTCCAAAATCACTCCAAGCTAGGGGAGGAAAAAAGGGATAAACCCTGTGTCAATACTCACCCCAGGCAGTGTGCAGCTGACATCACCCAGTCAGGGGCCACCAGGAAGCCCCCACAGTACCCATGTTCTACGATCTTCAGGTATGCCATGTAGGGGTGCGAGTGGGGCTGTGCCTCGTGGCCCCCCACAATCTCACCCCGCAGAGCACCTGCAAAAGAAACCCAGCCTAATATGAGCCAGGGGCTTCTGAGACCCCCAAAGCAGCCCCAAAGCACAGCCCTGACTCACTGGCACTGGCCCATGGGCAGCAGAGCAGCAGCAGCAGGGCTGGCATTGTCCAAAGCTGGCACATCTTTGCCCACTTGGGTGCAATCCTGAGTTTGCCCCTGGCCAGGAGCTGCTTTTATAGCTGTGCCCAGCAGCCAGGAAACCATGTGCAAAGGGCTGATTGGGTTAATCAGGGCATCTCTGGCCTGGCTAGCTCAGTGCCCACGTCCCCCTGCCTGGCACTGATGGGTGATACAGCCCAGGGTGGAAATGCCAGGGCAGACAGAGCCTGGCACAGCACAGTCACAGCCTCAGGGGGTGCTGGAAGCAAGATTAGAGGTGGTTTTGAGGTGTGATTTCATAATTCTCTCACACTTTCTCTTTAATGTTTTTTGCCCTGAGGAAATGTAAGGTTCTAAAAAAAAAGCCACTTAAAAAAAACAACCAGAAAAACTTGGCCATTTAAAGTTGTGACTGTGGTCTAGAGGAGACAATGTGAAATTTGCTCTTTCACATTCTTGTTTTCCTTTGAGAAATGCTCTGCAGAGCCTCTTTTTCTACAGACTCACCATCACCAATTTAAATGAAAGGGCAAAGAGCCGAGCTGGTTTTGAGCGCTGTGAAAAGTCAAATCTGCAGGGTTTTGGGTCAGCCCATGTCAGAGGGGCTTTTCTGACTTTTCTTGGCTCCTCTGGGGGCAGAAGCATCCTGCCAGCTGGGGACTGGGATGTGGGAAATGCTCTGTGCAGCAGAAGAGACCGAAGCAGGGAAGTGCAACCACCCAACTGCCAGGATTGAGTGCTCAGTCATTTTTAAACCAAATCTGCTCCACCCTTCCTGGAGCACAAAAACACCTGCAAGTGGATGCCTTGGGCTGTGCTGGGGCCATGCAGCCTGACACTGAGCTCTCCACAGAGCTGAACCCATGGTTTGGTATTTTAAATCTTAATATCTGAAAGCACGAGCTTTAATCAGGACTTTGCAGCAGCACAGCAGGAAAACCTCAAGAGGAATCATCGATATTTTATCTTGTGTTTGTAGTTTGCTCTTTTTGCCTTGCAGTTACTTGTGGGTCTCCCACAATCTGTGGGTGGAAACCCTGCTGGGAGCAGCAGCCCCAGGACAGGGGGGACAGGCCGTGGGCACAGGGAGCTGAGCTGCTCTCCTGCTCCTCTCTGAGGGCAGACAAGTTCCTCTCTCTGAGGCCAAGGTGTTTTGGCCTTCCTGCTGTCCTCTGGAGGGTGCCAGGGATGCTGAGGTGCCTCATCCATCAATACCTGCTTTAGGCATGGAGCTGGAGAGATCCACAGGGATTCAGGTGCCCCCTGTGTGTCCCCTGACCTTTCCCAGCCCAGCACAAGGAGCCACCAGACAGTTTCAGACAGTTTCAGGCAGTGTCAAGCAGTTTCAGGCAGATTCTGGCTCTGATTTGATGGGAAAATATGAGAAATGTTGCAGGAGGGGGTGTCCCTCCTCTGCCCCACTTGGCTTCAAAATCAGAACATCTGAACTGGGATGGCAGCAGGGGAGAAAGGCCAAGATCCAGCTCAGGCTGTGGCTGCAGAGAGCAATGGGGATGAGAAAGAGCAGAAATTTTTCTTGTGGGGGCTCAGACCCCATTAACCCTCAATCATGAGCTGGGCACTCCTTGCCTTGGATGTGTTTGTGGAAGGGGCAGTTTTTAGAAAGATCTTTCCATGTTTTGCTGGTCCAGAGAAGCAGAACACCAAGGGTGAGGGGCTCAAGCTGTCCCAGCAGCTCAACTGCTTCGAGCAAAAGGTTTTCCTGCCCCAGTCCCATCCTCTCCACAGATCTCTCAGGAATCTCTGAGACTCCTCACACATTGCCAGCTCTTGGAGCAGCTGCTTAGAGCTCCTGACAAGGCAAGTTTCTCCATTCTCTGATCTTCCAGGAACATTCCACTGTTGGACAATACCCTTTTCCTGACCCAGAGATTACCCAGACCCAGACACAGAGACCCAGAACTTTCTATCAAGCCCTAAAATCTCCCTACAAATCCATTTCCCAAAACCAAACCCTAAAACTCTCTACAAATCCATTCCCCAAATCAAACCCTAAAAACTCCCTACAAATCCACTTCCCACATTCCACCAGCTGTGTCCTGAACAGACCCATGAGCTGGAGGTTCCGCCTGAGGCAAGAGGAAAGCTCACAGGGGTGATGTGCCAGGGATTCCAGATTTGGGGGGAATTTGGGGTGATCTCCTGGTGCTGAACGTGCAGCCCTGCACTCGTGGCTCGGCCTTCCTGCTGATTTCCTCTCCTTCAATCTGGGGTCATCTGCTGACCTTATCAGTGTGACTTTCTTTCCACTCTGCTGATAGAAAAAGCCAAAACCTCAGCTGAAAGGGTGAGGGTGGAGGATGGAGCCCTCAGCTTTTGATGAGAACCACTCTTGCTTGCACGTGGCTTTCTGCAGGAGCCACCTTTGCATTTTCTTCTTGTCTGAGCTGCCATCCAGGCTGGGATCAGTCCATGGACAGCTCCCTGCTCTTTCCTCTCGTCTTGGTGACATTTCCATGGCTCCCTGACAGTCTGGAGTGACAGCCCAGGGCCAGCAGGGCTCAGCTTCTGCTGAGACCCTGATTTAAAGGGTGCTCTGCTTTTCTTTCATCTCTGCCACTCTGCAGCTGATTTGGGTGGGGTCCACCCTGCACAGAAATGTGGTTGATGGTGTAACTTCCCCTTTTTTCATTTTCGTAGGTAGAAGCCTCACTTGTTTTGCACGAGGAGCTGTCCCCACTACCTGCACCGTGCTGGGCCTCAGATGAGGAGCTGGAGAGCATTGCTGAACCTCCCTGGGGCAGCAAGAGCCTCCCACAAGCCATGGCAGGTGAGTGCAAAGGCAAATTCACATCCACAGTTGGGTACAGCACGTTCCAAGGCTTTCCTGTTGAGTTTTGCAAACATAAGGAGTTAGGCCAATGCTAGAAATGAACATTTCAGCCATGCTCTGGTTTCTTGGTTCTGCTCTCAGCACCTCAAAGGTGGGAAGCAGCAGCATTTTTGCCTCCTTCCCTGCCTGTGGGAGGATCCTCACCCATCCCTAGCAGGTGCTTGGTGAGTTGAAGGTGTAGCTGCAGTGTCAGGGCACAGTGTCAGCTTGGAGCAGCTGGATTGCTTTGGAGTGGAGGCACCCCTCAGGTGCCAGGAGCTGCACAGACAGGATGGATGTGCCTGGATGTGTTCTGAGACAGTGGCAGGAGCTGGGCTCATGGAGTGACAGCATGGATCTTCCTCCTGAAGAGGGAAGAGGGATGATCTGAGCACAGGGCAGCTGAGGAACAGGCAGTGGCTCTCTGCTAGGCTCTGCAAGCAAAGCATTTTGTGTCTCGAGCTGTCTGGGTGCTCTTACCAGCACTGGGATCTGTTCTGGCTCCCAGACCCCACCCATCAAGGTGTTGTCCCTGTTTGACACAGCCTGCTCCAACCCTGGCACGTTTCTTCACACCTTCACAACCACAGCAAAGCTCAGAATAACCAGACCCTTACCAAGAAATGACAGTTGTTAGAAGAGATGTCAATAGTGGCAGTCACAACAGGAAACTTTATTAAACAACAGGAAGCCCATGCTCATGGGTGGACTTACAAAACACCTCACCCTCCTCTCCCTTTTGCTCTTTCAGTGCTGCAGGGCTGGCAGACAGGGCTCTGACTCTCCCCTCCGCTGAGCAGGGCTGGCTGCAGCCCTCAAACAGAGGATCTGCTCTGCTCCAAGCCTCACCTGACCCTTCCTGCATCGAGCACCCACTGAGTGCAGACCCAGGCTCAGAAGATGGCTGCTCCAGTGCTGAGCTGGCTGGTGAATCGCTCCCTCCTCCTTCCCCTGGACTCTGCTCACCTGCTTACCCCCAAAGCCTCCTGCCTGCAGCTGGCTGCCGCCGGGAACATCAACATCATCCTGCAGCACTACAACTTCTCAGGCAAGCTCAGCAAGCGCCACTCCACCGACGAGGGCATGGGGCCTCTGCGCACGGCCTTCGTCGCCATCAGCTGCCTCATCATCGTGGAGAACCTGCTGGTGCTGCTGGCCGTGCTGCGCTGCCTGCGGGGCCGCCGCTGGGTCTACTCCTGCATTGCCAGCATCACCCTCAGCGACCTCCTGGCGGGCATCGCCTACCTCTGCAACCTCTGCCTGTCGGGCAGCAAGACCTTCCAGCTGTCCCCTCAGCTCTGGTTCCTCAGGGAGGGCATCCTCTTCGTGGCTTTGGCCGCCTCCACCTTCAGCCTGCTGGTGACGGCGGTGGAGCGCTACAGCGCCATGGTCAGGCCCATCGCGGAGAGCGAGGCCAGCAAGACGCTGCGGCTGCGCGGCCTCATCGCGGCCTGCTGGCTGCTGGCCCTCGCCATCGGCCTGCTGCCCATGCTGGGGTGGAACTGCCTCTGTGATTTCCAGGCCTGCTCCGTGCTCCTGCCGCTCTACTCCAAGAATTATATCCTGTTTTCTGTGGTGATGTTCAGCGTGATCCTCCTGGGGATCATCGGGTTCTACATCTCCATCTTCCTCCTGGTGCAGGCCAGCTCCAGGCAAAGCTGCTCGCGGAATGGCCGCCGGCGCTCGCTGCGCTTGCTGAAGACGGTGCTGATGATCCTGGGGGCTTTCATCGTGTGCTGGAGCCCTCTCTTCGTGCTGCTGCTCTTGGATGTGTTCTGTGACACCGGGGCCTGCAACCACCTGCGCAGCCTGGACTGGACCCTGGCTCTGGCGCTGCTCAACTCGGGCATCAACCCCGTCATTTACTCGCTGCGCAGCGTGGAGGTTCGCCGGGCCGTGGGCAGCCTGCTGTGCTGCTGCTGTGTCAGGGCTGGGCTCTGCAGGCCTGGCAGCTGCGTGACCATCTCAGACATCAACTCTGGTTCCTCCACGGAGAGCTCCCTGCGCTGCCGGGACAGCTTCCGAGGCCCCACGGCCCAGAGCGCTCGGCCCAGGGCGCCTCTGTCCAGCAACTCCAGCATGATGAGCAATCTGCCCAGCCTGTGAGGGGAAAAGAGGTGCCAGACAGCCCCCGGGAGCTCATGGGGCTGCTCCTGGCCTGGCAGGGCTGTAGCGAGGCTGAGCAGTTGTGAACTGCACCACCAGACTGGTGCAGCCCAGGGACAGAGATTGCTCCTAGATTTGAGTGAAAGACACAGGGACATTTCGGGATGGATGCTGTGCTGGGACAGCTGCAGTGCTCAGGTTTTGTATGTGAGCTTTGGGTGTGCAGAGGCGCTGTAGCTGCCCACCTGAGGGTGTTTTGTCCCATAGGATTGATTTCCCCAACCAGGTGGCCCTTCCAAGGCTTTGGAATTCTTTTGGACCTTCTGTGATGGGCACAGCTGGTGGGAAGGAATGCAAGCTTGATGTCCTGCCCAGCCTGAGGATGGCAGAGAGCTGCAGCCACAGCCCAGACTCTCCCCAGGGTGCAGACTGGGCACTGAGCCAGGACAAATGCTGTGACCAAGCTGCAGTGACAGGGCTGGCACTGGCACAGGCACAAGGAGGTGCCCAGAGGGACTAGGGAGCCTGGTGCCATCCTGAGCATGAAGACACAGCCAGTTTGTGCCTCAGATCCCTGCTCTTCTGTTCTCCCATGTGGGGAATAACCAGAGCAGCACCCAAATGCCTCCTCTCACCGTGCCAGAAGGACACAGAAGCACTGGGGACTCACAGTGCTGGCCCAGCCCCTGTGCAGGAGCTGAGCATGCAGCTCGTTTGTTTTGCATTAATAAATCAGGGTAATCAGAAAGCCTTGGGGTGATTTGCTTCGATTTTTTTTCCTCTGGAGGCCAGGTACTGCCTGGGGATGTTTTTGTAGTCTGGGGACATCTGGAGCTGCCCTCCTGTTCTTGGGACAGGGGGATTGCCCTGCTCAGGGGGCAACAGGTCCTGTTCATCCCATCCTGTCCTTTCCCATCCCATGGATCCCATCCCATCCCATGGATCCCATCGTATGGATCCCATCCCATCCCATGGATCCTGACCCATCCCATCCCATCCCATTGATCCCATCCCATGGATCCCATTTCATCCCATTATCCCATCCCATCCGCTGAGGGGCGCTCTGGAGCTCCAGGCCGG